AAATAAAACATTACAGTGCACACACTGATCGTTTTCCATATTCACAGGGGGCCGAATCAAAAGGCATAAGAACTTTCTGAAAGATTATTTACCATAAGAACAGTCCACTGCTTTAGAAAATGTCTTGAAGTCAATCACAAAACTGGAGAACAAGTAGGGTTGTAAAGTATCTTTTATTGGGGGAAAAAAAGTGTATGCCATTTCAAGACTGAAATGTATTACTTTTAGAAATTTGGGCAACTTCTTTTTTTTTTGCTTTCAGATATTTAAATTGCTAACCACCAAAAGTACAAATCTAAGCATTATGTGATTATGGCAGAAAAGGAACTGCTACATGGGGGGGGGGGCACAGAGAGAGACCACTATTCCTCAAGAACTAGACACTACTACTGATAATAGGGGGGCCTGACCTGTTGAATCAATTCATTCCCATCTATGCATCTATAATTTCATCCTAGAGCCAATTTAAAGGAGACAAAATGTTGGAGCTAGGGTTGCCAGATATAGCAATAAAATATAGCAAGCCCAGTTAAATTTGAATTTCAGATAAACAATTTTTTTTAGTAAAGCATGCCCTACGCAATATTTATACTAAAAACGTATTCACTGTTTATATGAAATTCCAGTTTAACTGGATGTCCTGTATTTTACTTGGCAACCCTAACTGAAGCCAAAAGATGGAGCAGTAATCAATCCAATTTCCTCACTTTGTAGCAGAAACAGAGACTCGAGGAAGGGAAGTGACTTGCCCAAACCTAAACCAAAGATCAAGGAAGCGAGTTTGTTTTGAAAAGAGAAAACATATTCCACTCGGTCACCTTGGGTTCCACTCATAGTTCATTCAACCTCCAATTATGGCTCACCTTACAGAAGCACCAAGCGGACAAGCTATAAAAGGGTATAGTTTTCCTCTTTCAATATCAAACTTGAAGTTTCAGAAAATCTCTGATCTACTCTGGTCTTCAAAAACAACAAATTAGGAAAATAAGCATTTCTCTTAACTTAAAAAAAAAAATCCTCCTGATAATTTTTTTGGCCTACACACCACCACCTCATTCTGCTTATATGTCCACTCACTATGTGAAACAGGACCTCCTTTTCTCCTAAACCCAGTTCTCTCAAAATCCAAAATTATCTTGCTTCAGAATCTGGCGGACGTTCACATTACTCCATGACCCTAAAGATTTAGTTCATACTCTCTCCCCACTCTCATATTTTTCAGAGGAAATGTCCTAATCCATTCAGTTGGTCTCAAATAAAAGTCTTGCAACAAGTCTTCCACTGTCATTCTGTGCCTGAGCAACTGAACAGCCCTGAGGCATGTGGTCTCGCTGCTATCAACATACTCGTACTTCCCCTGGGACTGGGGTGCAAGAAAAGATGAAAAGAGAAAGGTCTTTATAGGAAATTTGGGCGCCTTTTTCCAGTACATATGAGAAATATAGTAAATGTCTCTCTAACTGCATGACATACAATCAGACAAAATCAAAGGAAAAATAAAGAAAATTCTACATACGCAAAGGATGCATATTCCGAATCTCACCAAATTAACACACAAAACACGTCCTCCACTCCGTAACACCACTTCCCAACCTGTGCTCTCTGCGGGCCCTTAAGGGTAAGCGGGGAGGGGGGCGGAGGGAGGCAGATAAAGGTTTCGTTTTTCTCTTTTTTTACAAAGCGGGCTTCCAGATAAGGTTTTAAGAAAAAAGGTTCCGATGCATTTAAAAAGCCTGAAAAAACAGGAATGGAAACCATTATGACTCTCTCTACTATGTTTTCTATTAAAAACTTCACCCCGGGGAACAAGAATCCAAATCGTGTCAGATGAAGAGACACACAGAAACTTGGCAATTAAGATACAATCTCTACCTATGCTTTCCCTGCTGCAGCTCCAGTGTCTGCAGATCTCTCTCGAGATCAGCCACGTCAGAAGTGGAAGGTCCTCGCAGGTCACCCAGTCCCGACTGTCATTTTACAGAAGCGGAAACTCAGGCCACGGGCGAGGGCTGACTGGCCCAAGGTCTCGCAGCCCGAGAGGGCAGGATTCGACGGGGACTCCACGCCGGCCGCCCAGGGCCCTCAGCGCCCAACGGAGGCTGCTGCGGCCCCGGGGGTGGCCCAGCTCCAAGAGCAGCCTGGAGCACCGGGGCGGACGGGCCCACGGCCCGGGGTCGCTGCCGCTTTTCGGCCGGCTCCGCGCCGGGCCCCCGGCCCAGGGCGGAGCGGAACCCGGGCCTCGGCGGCCGCCCCCGCCCAGCCCACTTGTCGCGGACCGCAAGCCAGCAGCCACACCCCCGGCCGGGGGTTCGGGGGGCTTCGGCGGCGGCCGGCGACAGCGGCTGCGCGCGGCGTGGGGACTGCCCGTCCCGAGGCCACAGGAGTTACCTCAGGTGGGCGCGGAGCTCGCGGCTTAGCCGCCCCGGCCCGCCGGGCGCATGCCGGAGACGCGGACGCAGCAGGGCCGCAGCGCCGCAGCTCCGCCGCCGTGGAGCCTGTTTGCGCCCTCCGCCAGATGAAGCTGACTGGCCCGTCACGTGACGCGCGCGTCACGTGCTCGCTCGGGGGTTGGGCGGAGGCGTTGCCCTGCGACGACGGCGCGCTAGGGGAGGGACCGCGGCGGCGCGGCGGGGGCCTTCTGCGCTCACACGTCTCGGCGGTGCGGAAGGAACAGCCGCCGCAGCTTGCCCAATCTGGGTGAGGAAGGGGAAAGTCTCCCGCCACCCCGGCTTCGTCCATTAGTGACCGCCGAGTTTGACCGCATATATTATTAGGGGTTTGGAAGCAGAAGGGAACTTAGTCTGGCCTTGCGATGTTGAACTTGGAGGAAAAAAATGGGAAATACTCCGTTACCGAAAGCTAGCACACGAAGGGAGAGCAGGTGAATAAGCAATAATAGTTTGTTTGCCTTAACGAACACTTTTGTTTGCTCTAGCTCTCTAATCTGGAGTGAATGGCTGTGGCCACAGCCTACCTCCGCATCCACATCCCACTGTGAGGAAGGACTTCCAACTTTTCTTTTAAATTATATTTTATTATAATTTGCAAGGAAATTAGTCTTTGTACGTATAAATACAAACAAATCTAAGTGAATATTTGATTCAGCGTCCAGCTTTTGTCCACATCAAACTTTCCTGATCATAGCTCTGTCACTTTGTTTTTAATGACTATTTCCTCCAAGTCCAGTTTTCCTAGATCAAACTTTGCAGAAGTAAAGATTCAACCACTGCCAATTTCTCCCTTAATATTCATTATAAATTGCTTAAAAGACTAATAGTTTGTATTATTTGTTAGTAAATTCATGAGTGAATTGTGAGCAAATACCCTCAAATATTCCAGAATTGTTCTGTTGTCCAGGAGTGATGTGTTGGATAATAAAGTTCCTCCATACAATTCTGATCACTTTGCATACTTGGCTAAGAGCAAATTGACAAGGTCAAAATAGTGGGTTGAAAATATCCTCCAGGACATTTTTTTTTTCATTTCTATAACACACCTAGAATGCAACATTACAAAGAGTAAAAAATACAGTGATACTTTTGTCCATTCTCATCTTTTACTATGGAAAATAGGCAAGGTAAGTTGCCACAACCTAATTGACTTTTTCTGCTGCTTCTGGCAGCAGATGTTTCATGAAGGCAAGAACAATATCTTCCATTGGTATACCTTATGCCTAGACCATGCCTGGGAAGCTAAAAAGTTGGTTGATCTGTGGATGTGGAATCCTGCCATCCTTCTGTGGGAAGTGGCAAAGACCTTTGGTAGATCCAGAGGGATCTGTGAGTTAGTCAGTACTCATGGAGGCAATGCTAGAGTGAGGCCTGGCTCAGCCATTACTATCTAGGCAATTTACTTAACCTTTCTGAGCCTCTTTCTTCATCTATCTAAAAGAAATATCTGCTTAATAGAATAGTTATGAAGATGAAATGAAATAATGCTGGCACAACACTTTAAAGTGCCCAACACACACAGTGCTCAATAAATGTTAACCATATATGGCCTTTGGCAAGAGGGTATTGGAGATGTTTCAGGTTCAGTTCCAGACAACTGCAATAAAGTGAATATTGCAATAAAACAAGTCCCACAAATTTTTTGGTTTCCCAGTGCATATAAAAGTTATGTTTATACTATACTATAGTCTATTAAGTGTGCAATAGCGTTATGTCTAACAAAAACAATATACATACCTTAATTAAAAAATACTTTATTGCTAAAAAATGCAAACCACCATCTGAGCCTTCAGTGAGTTGTTATCTATCTGTTGGTGGAGGGTCTTGTAAAAAACACAATATCTGGGAAATGCAATAAAGTGAAGAGCAATGAGACGAACTAGGCCTGTGGTAGTCTAGGAGTTCAGAGTCCTGAGGGAAAGGGAGCTGACAAGTCGAATGTGTCCAGGTCCTGGATCTGGATTCTGGCCACCTGGACTGGAGTTGAGGGTAGGACTGCCAGCAAGGAAGCTAAGCACAACTGGAAAGTCTTTGCCTTTAGAATGGAAGGCTGCTAATAAGGGAATTGCTCATAGGTGACCAGCTGCTCACTCCAAGGGGAGTACTAGCCTTGTGGCAGCAGGTTAATTCCAAACCCTGTTTGTGGTGATGAGGACTCCTAATATACTACCTTTCCATTGCCTCAGCCCACGTAAGGAAATTGCTTGCCCTCTCCTAGAGTTTGTGGGAAAGAAAGAAGTCAGGCCTGAGCCAAGTGACCAGTGTTACCCCAAGAGCCATTCAAACCTGACTGTCCACCAAATGCCTAAACATATCTAACGATTTCTAGTTTTTTTGTTTGGGTTTCACTGCAAACAACAAAATGCATTGGTATGTATGAGAAGATATACTGCAAATGTATAGAACTCTATAATGGCATTCCATCTAACACAGTGGATGTACTAGTGTTCCCACTAGAATGATGAATGTTAGGAATAATGCGGGACCTGCAAACAAAAAAAGAGGTGAACAATAGCCTACTAAGGTGCTGCCAAGCTATGATGTGGTAGAGCCAGCTTTGAATGTATGTTTTCTGATTCTAAGTCTAAGTACTTTTTCCTTTTTATTAATAATCATAAAAATGTTGTTTCACTATATTTCTTTATTCTTTCTTGATTTTGGCCTTCCTATGGTATTAGTGCTGACAATTTTCCTTCACATAGTGTTTGGTATATTTCAAAAGTAGAGCCAACAGGATTTGCAGATTGATTAGAGGTGGATGTGAAAGAACAGAGTGCAGGATGACTGTGAGGTTTTGGCCTATACAACCAAAAGAATGGAATTGTCATTTAGATGGAGAAGAAGGAATATATACTATATTTTGGGGGAGGAAATCAAGAATTTGATTTTGGACGTGCTAAATTCTATATGCCTATTAGATATCCAAATGGAGATGTATAGTTAGCAACTGGATGGAAGACACTGGAATTTCGAGGAGAGAGATAGAGATATACATTGATTAGCCATTGGTATTTAAAGCCACAGGATCTCTGAGGTCACACAGAGCAGTAACTTTCATAGCTCTGATCTCAACCCAGGACAAAATACGTTTTACACACTGACCAAATACATGTACATAACTTTAAAGTTTCAAGAAGCAGATTTACCCTGCTTGTGTGTAATGCTCTATTTTCTCTTCTCTTCTATTTTGTTGCCTTTTTAAAAACTTCTCCTCCCAACTCAATTGATTTTTTAACCGAGTAATGGTTGTGACCTACAGTTCGAAAATCACTGAAAGTCACTGACCTAGGACATGAATTGCATAATTGCAGGGGTAAAAAAAGATCCAAAGGCTAGTCATGTGGCACTGTAGAGTAAGACTAGCAAAGAAAATTTAGTAGAAGCAGTGAGAGGTAAGAGCAGAAACAAAACAGAAGAGTCCTAAAAGCTAAGGGAAGAAAATGTTTCAGGGAGAAGGAAATGCCTAAGCGTGTCATTTGCTACTGAGATGTGGAGTAAAATGAGAATCCACTTTGGATTCAGCAGCGTACACATCACTGAGACCTTGAGAACAGAGCAATTAGAATAAAGCGGTAGGGATGCAAGGCTGAGCGTAGAGATGGCAGATGGTGACAGCAAGTAGATCTATTTCCTTCTGCTGTGAAGAGGAGCAGAGGAATGGGGCAACAACAGGCAAGAGGGGGCTTCAGGTTTTCTGTTTAAATATTTACACGCTAATAGAGATGCTCCGGTGATGCGGAAATACCGATGCAGAAGAGAGTGACAACTGTAGGAAGGACATCCTTGATTGGCTGGTGGGTCATCCATAGGGAGGTGAATAAGGGGAGGGGGCAGGCACAGACACAGCTGGCTTGGCAGATTTGTTGTTAGATGCATGTGGAATTTCTTTTCTGATTGTTCATAGTTTAATAAAATAAGAAGGTGAGAGTGAGGAGAGGGTTTGAGGAGAGAGGGGGTGAAGCTCATTCAGGAGAGTGCTACATTCCAGCCCCAGCCCCAGCCCCAGCCCCAGGATTTCCCACATGGGTGATTGTGTGCATATCTTTCTGTCTCCAGACTTCCATTCTTGCCTCCTACAGTCTTTTTTCTACACAATCACCAGAGTGATTTTTCAAAACTTAAGTATGAAAATGTAAACCCCCAATATTTTCCCAATTCAGAATAAAAGCCCAAGTTCCTGCCTATGAAGTCCTCGATGATGTAGCCCCTTATTTCCCCTTGTGCCCCTCACGTGCTTTGCTCCAGCCACCTGGTTTCTTTGCTATTTCTTGGTTTTTTCGGGCATAGAACACTTTCTCCCAGGTCCTCACTTCCTTTGTGACTTTACTTACATGTAACTTTCTCATAGTGGCTGTCTTTGACCACCCTTTCTGAAACAACCCTTCTATCTATGTCACCCTACTCTGCTCGGTTTTTGTTCTTAGCACTTATTACCATCTGTGGCAGAGACATTTACAGCTCATTAAACATCCATTCCCCACCCCGATAACTGTTGCACGTGACTAGCTCTGACCGATGGGCTGTGAGCAGAAGGGCGCATATACACTTCTAAGCAAAAGCATTTAAGAGCCAAAATGCAACCCTTCAGCTCTCTCTTCCCCTGCTGCAGCAATCTTGGAGACCACATGTTGCATTGGCAAATCCACACCATGGAAATAGCCTGAATCACTGAGTTGTCCCATCAGGCAGCTGCCATGAGAAGTTGCCTGGCCTACTGGATTTTGCATGAGTGAGGAATAAACTTTATTGTGTTAAACCACTGAGCTTTTGTGGTTAATTTGTTACCATAGCATAATATAGCATTTGTTATGGTCTGAATTATGTCTCCCAAAAATTTATATGTTGAAATCCAAAGCCCCAGTACCTCAAAATGTGACTGTTTTGAAGATAGGCCCTTTAAAAAGGTAATTAATGGGGCCAGCCTGGTGGCGTAGTGCTTAAGTTTCCATGTGTCTTGACATGAGTGCAGCCATGTTTGGCTGTTCCATTAACCTACAGCCACCAGCACACAAAGAAATATAAAG